ACTCGCAGCAGGACCGGAGTCACCAGTGACCTCAACAGGCGCAGGCGCAGGGGGGTCTACCTGAGAGACACCTGAAGGAGCAGGACCTGGCGCGGGGAGGGGGTCTACCTGGGGAGGACCTGGGGCGAGAAAGAGCGGCGGGGGGGGGCGAGGAGCAGTGCGGTAGGGGAAGAGGCGGTAAAAGGGGACGGACTCATCAAAGGTGACGTCCTGAGACGCAAAGACACGGCGCGAGGCGGGGTCGTAAAACTGCCAGCCAGGCGCGTCAGGGACAAAGCCAAGGAAGACGCAAGGAATGGCGCGAGGGGAGAGCTTGTCCGCGGTGGTATCGCGGACAAAGGCACGAGCACCCTAGACCCGGAAACGCGACGCGTCGCCAACCTTCCCCGTCCACAGCAGTGTGGGCGAGGTCTCTGGCAAGGAGACACGGGGCCAAAGGTTGAGCTGATGCGCGGCGTACCGGACCGCAAACGGCCACAGAAAATGGGGGGCAGCCGCATGGATCATGGAGGTACGAGCGACCTCCATGACTAAGCCAATGCGGCGCTCAGCAACCCCATTCTGCTGCAGAGAGGCCAGAAGCGTGAAAGTCTGGCGGATGCCGTGCTCCGCACAGAAGGCTGCCAAGAGGTCTGAGGAGAACTCACCACCTCTGTCAGAGTGCAGACGCAGGATAGGAAAGTCCGACTGGAACCGCTCGCGGAGCTGGAGACGAGTAGCTCGGATCCACAGGGTCAAAACATCAGGGACATCCCCCTTGCGCTGCAAGGGGAAGACCGTGGTGTAGCGTGTGTAGTCGTCGACAACCAGCAGGAAGTACCGCTCGTGGCCCTGTCCACGGACGCGGGCTGGGCCCCACACGTCCAGGTGGAGAGTCTGCAGTGGAGCCTCTGTGGGAGGGAACGAGGAGGAGTGAGGAGCGGCGCGCTGCCGCCCCTCGACGCAGGGAATGCAGGGCGGCGCAGGCGAGGGAGGGAGGGGAGGCAGAGACCTGGGAAGACCAGAAACCAGGAAGCGGGAGTGCATGCTGTGTAGGCGAGGCAGGGAGGGGTGACCAAGGCGGTGGTGCCACAGGAGAGTGTCGTGCGACAGCCGGCGACACTCACACTGTGTAGCTACCTGAGCAGACGCGTGCAACTGGGGAGACAAAGGGGCGGAGCGTGACGCAGTGGTGAGGGTGTACAGACTGGACCCTGGCGCACGAGCGAATGTGGCCAGGTGGCGACCAGTCTGGGAGCACGTGAAAATTGCCACACGCTGCCGGCCAGGGGTGAAGGTGTCAACCCCCGCATCCTGGAGGACAGCGTTACTCCCCAAGTTCGTAGAGAACGAGGGGAGGTGGAGACCAGACAGCTTACCAGACGGGACCGCCGGACACGGAAGCACAGTGGAAGACCGTGCAAGCACTGGGCCCCCAGAGGGGTCAGCCAGTGAGACAGGAACAGGTGCAGGGAGGGGAGTGACTGTGGTACTGTCGCGAAAGAAACAGCGGGAAGCACCAGAGTCAAGTGTAAAGGTGTGCAAAGCCTGTGCAGGCGCAGTACCAAGGGGAGCAGACTCACAAGCACCTAGTGCTGCAGGGGATATACCAGGGGCTATACCAGGATCCGGCGGCACACACAAGTAGCAGTCACCCTCAGCACTAACAGACAAGGCATAGATAGCAGCAAGAATTGCCTCATAGTCAAGATCAAAGATAGGTACATCACGCCTAAGCAAGTCTGCCCAGTTGGGGAACTCAGGAGCATCAGGAAACTTGGCGCGCCAATCGTCTCTAAGCCGAGCGAAGCAGCGCTGCTCAGTGTGAAAACCTGTGCACTGGCGACCAGCGCGGGGACCTGTGCGGTATAGGGGCAGCGACCAGGACCCCCAGAAGCCCCATGCCCGGCATACCAGTCAAGAAGCTGCTGGGAAGTGGGGGTCTGGCGCTGACGCTGATGCTGCTGCTGCTGCTGCTGCTGCTGCTGCTGAGGCTGCTGCTGGCCCTGACCACCAAAGCCACTACCGCTCCCTCCTCCCCCACCGCCGTTGCTGCCCCCTCCACCGCTCCCAGTGCCTCCGCCGCCCCCACCACCACCTCCACCGCCTCCACCCCCACGACCACCCCCACCACCTCCACCTCCCCCGCTGCCTGCACCACCGCCACCTCCACCGCCACCCCCACCGCCCCTGCCACCCCTGCCGCCCCTGCCACTGCGACGCTTCCCACTTGGAGCGGAAGCAGCTCCGACCCCCTCAGCACCAAGGTAGTCGTGAGCAGCAGCTGCGGAGGCGTAGGAGGGGGTGAGAGGGGAGGGGGAGCACCCCTCAAAGAGGGGAGAGCGTGGAGTGCCACGAGCAGCACCTACAGCGAGGATGTTCTTCTCTGCTGCGAGGAGGTGCTTCTCGAAGTCGTCGACAGTGAGAGTGGTGGGGTCTAGCGCTAGGAAGTGGTCCCTGACAGAGCTAAGAGTGTCAGGGAGGCTGGTGACGAGGAAATAGAGAGTGAAGTACATGGGGGGGGGGGGGGGGGGGGGGGGGGGGGTTGCGGCGCAGAACTCGGCTGAAAGGGCGGCACGAAAGCGAGAGTCAGTAGCGCGCAGGTGAGAAACTAGGTCCTCAGCAGTGGTGAACGAGGAAAGATCGGGGAACAGGTACGGTAGCATGAGTCGACCTATGGCTGCAGTGGCCGGGGAGGAGTAGCGCGCAACTACAGCGTCGTACAGTGTCTTAGCAGTTATGTGCTAGCTGAAATGCGCTCGCTCAGTAATCGGCAGGTGGTTCCTAATAGCTAGGCGTGCAGCAGCATCACGAGTCTGCCACTGGGAGCGTTCTAGAGCAGGAGCATCAGCAGCAGGAGTAACGGCAGTGCCAGAGACGTAATCAAACAGGGAAACGCCCTCTTTGGCATTAGTCAGAAGGAACAGCTGGATATCGTCTAACCACACAGTGAACTCGATGGGACGACCGTCAGGCTCGAACGCTAGAACGTTAGGCGTCGCCATATTGGCTTAAGGCAGGAGGCAGCAGGCAGCAGGCAGAAGGCAGAGGCAGCAGGCACCAGGTAGGAGGCAGGAGGCAGAGGCAGGAGACAGAGGCAGGAGGCAGGGGCAGCAAGCAGCAGGCAGGCGGCAGCAGGCAGCAGGTAGGCGGTAGGCAGGCGGCAGGCAGGCGGCAGGCAGGCGGCAGCAGGCAGCAAGCAGCAGGCAGGTAGCAGGCAGGCAGTAGGCAGGCTGCAGGCAGGCGGCAGCAGGCAGCAAGCAGGCAGGCGGCAGGCAGGCGGCAGCAGGCAGCAAGCAGGTAGGCGGCAGCAGGCAGCAAGCAGCAGGCAGGCAGCAGGCAGGCAGCAGGCAGGCTGCAGGCAGGCGGCAGCAGGCAGCAAGCAGGCAGGCGGCAGCAGGCAGCAAGCAGCAGGCAGGCAGTAGGCAGGCAGTAGGCAGGCTGCAGGCAGGCGGCAGCAGGCAGCAAGCAGGCAGGCGGCAGCAGGCAGCAAGCAGGTAGGCAGGCAGGCAGGTGGCAGGCAGGCGGCAGCAGGCAGCAAGCAGGCAGGCGGCAGCAGGCAGGCAGCAGGCAGGCAGCAGGCAGGCGGCAGGCAGGCGGCAGCAGGTAGCAGGAGGCAGCAAGCAGGTAGGCAGGCAGGTGGCAGGCAGGCGGCAGCAGGCAGCAAGCAGGCAAGCGGCAGGCAGGCAGCAGGCAGGCGGCAAGCAGGCAGGCGGCAGCAGGCAGCAGGCAGGAGCGGCCTGAGGGCTGCGTGAGGCTGCTGGCTGCGTGTGGCGGCTTGCTGCACGAGGCTGCAGGCTGCGCATGGCTACGGGCAGCGCGCGCGGCCGCAGGCTGCGTGCGGCGACGAGCTACGCGGGCTGCGGGCTGTGCGTGGCGACAGGCAGCGTGCGCGGCTGCAATTTGCGTGAGGCTGCGGGCTGCACTGGGCGACGGGCCGCACGTGCGCGGCTGCGGGCTGGTCGCTAAGTTGCGGGCTACGCTGGGCGACGGGCCGCGCTGGCGTGGCCTAACTGGGTTGCGCGCGGTCGGCCTAAGGGGCGCACAGGCGGGGCCGAAACGGGCTACGCGGGCTGCTGAAGCTGCGCACGTGGGAAAAAAAAGGACCGCCCGAGGCGCGCGCGGGCAGCCGAGGCGCGCGTAGGCACTAGACAAGGCAGGCAAGCGTGGTGGGCCCTAATCCTAGGTCCTAAGGACCTATGCTCTATACCATGTTGGAATAGGAGGCAAAAGTGATGTCGACTGTCGAGAGGGTTGGTACAAAGAAAATGAACCTAAGGGGTTGTACCCCACAGTGTGTACCCCACTAAGCCTACCCAAACTATAACATAGATATACATATGTTTGACACTTTGTACTTCGAGTTTGCACGTTGTGATGAACAGGTGCCATAATAGGTGACGATATGCCATAAGCCCGACCATTTTAACTTCCATGGAGTAACTTAATGCCTCTTGAGCTTAAAACCAGTTTTTCACCTGAAACAACAGATCTTCATAAAAGCTTTTACGACGAGCCAATGTTCGCTGTTTGAACACAAAGTGGTGTCGAAATAAATCTCTTGATGAGTAGACCTTAAAAACGTATTCAGACAAAGAAACTGATTGAGTTAAGCTGGACATTGCTTAGTCTGAAGTTCTCCTAGGAGCCATGGCGGAGAGGCTGATGCGAGCAGCCATTGCGAAATGTGAAATGTGAGTTTATGATATATATTTTCTATTCAATAGAGACAGTTGTAAACAGTCTTTACTGTATCGAGGATGGCAGTTCTGCTCCAAGTCCTTCCCTGCTACACTGCTTGCGCCATTCAAAGCTAGGGGCAGATTCCCCTTGCAAAGCCCGGCGTTTTTGGGTTTCGAGGGAAATCAGGGTTTAGGCGCAATCAGTTTGTGGAAACACGTTTCGTTTTCCACACCCTAGACACAACCATCTTGAGCCGTTGCCGTTGCGTGATCTTGTCGTTCCGCCATCCAAACGTGCCGTGATTTCGAGCAGCCTCTCCATCCGAAAACTCGTTCGTCATGGCGCCCCGACTAGAGGGCGCCACGTCATCACACCACTCCGTAGGTGCCCAATCGCAGAAGCATCAGCAGCTGACGCGCCTCGTTCCTAAAAAAACCTACAAGCCGCTGCTAAGCCTTGAGGTCTTTTACACAGGCGGCCACGTGGCAGTCTTTCCGGATGGACGCCACGTGGCATGTCCTTGCGCTGACGCGGTAAAGGTCGTCGATCTCACCACGGGGAAGGTCGTGCGGACGTTGGAGGGCGACGGAGAGCCAATCACAGCCGTCGCCGCGAGTCCAGATGGCGTGTCCGTATTGGCCAGCTCGCGCAGCCTGCAGACGCGCTGGTGGAACTGGCGCACGGGGGAGTGCAAGCGGTCGTGGAAGGTGAGGGGAGGGGGGGGGGGGGGGGAAGGGGGTGAAGGGTGGGGTGGGTTGGAGGGGAGGGTGGGGTGGGTTGGAGGGGGAAAGGCGTGAGGGGGAAGGGGGAGAGGCGGCGCACAGGGGAGTGCAAGCGGTCGTGGAAGGTGGGGGGGGGGGGGGGGGGAGGGGAGGCAGAGTGTGGGATGGTTGAATGGGGGATGGGGGATGCGGGAATGGCGGATGGGGGATGGTGGAGGGGGAAATGGCGGATGGCGGATGGGGGATAGGGGAGAGGTAGCGCAGCTTGTAGAGTTGCTGGTGGAACTGGCGCACGGGGGAGTGCAAGTGGTCGTGGAAGGTGAAGGGGAGTAGGGGGAAAGGGGAGGGAAAGGGGGCGAGGTGGAGGGGGATAGGCGTGAGGGGAAGGGGGAAGGGGCGGGGCTCGGGGATTTGCAAGCGGTCGTTTAAGGTTTCGTGGGTAGGGGAGAGGGGGAAGGGGATGCGGGGGAGACTGCGGAAGGTGGAGGGGAGGGGGAAAGGCGGAGGGGGAAGGGGAAGAGGTGGCGAACTGGGGAGTGTAAGTGATGATGGAAGGCGAGGCACGCCCTCCCATCCCATCCCCCTGGTGAGGCAAGGTGGCCGTGCTGGTGGTATTCCTTACACACGCCAATCCCCTAAACCCCTTACTCGCACGCCCTCCCCCTCTCCCACCCTCCCGCCACCCGCCTTCCCCGCCTCCGCCCCCACCCACCCCCCCCCCCCATCTCTTCCCAAGCACACCGGTCGTCAGTGTCGCGAGGGGGGGCGTGGTGGCGAGGGGGGTGGGTGAAGAAGCAAGGGCGCGCATGTGTGTGACCAGACCAGCACCGTAGAGATAACGTCAAGAGTAGTGGTATAGGGTTGTGTCTGGATATCATGTGTGTGACCAGACCAGCACCGTAGGCATGGACAGGGGCGGGCACGTGCGGGGCCTACAGGCGTGGACCAGACCACGCTGAGCCCAACTCCCGCCCCCTTTCTTCTCCTTTCCTCTCCTTTCTTCCTCTCTCTCGCCCAACTCCCTTCCGCCTTTCTCTGAATTCCTCCCCCAGGCGCACCCCGCACCGTGTCTGGCGATAGACGTGAGCGGGGGGCTGCTGGCGACAGGGGGGACGGACAGGGGCGTGCGCGTGTGGGACCAAACCAGACCAACCCCATAGGCTAATCCCCTTCTCCCCTTTCTCCCCGTCCCAGGCGCACCCCCGCGCCAGTGACTTGTCTAGCAGTGGATGCGAGCGGGGACTACTGGCGACAGGGGGGGCGGACAGGGGCGTGCGGTGATGACACTGTAGGAGAACTCATCCTCCCTTCTATTGCTCTCCTCTCTTGTTCCCCACTCCCAGGCGCACCCCGCCCCAGTGTCGTGTCTGGCGATAGACGCGAGCGGGGGGCTGCTGGCGACAGGGGGGGCGGACAGGGGCGTGCGCGTGTGGGACCTAGAAGCCAATGCCTGCACGCATTCGTTCACGGGCATGGGAGGCGTGCTGTCGTGCGTGGCGTTTCACCCCGACCCGAACCAATTGCTGGTGAGTGTGTTGCAGCCAAATAAAAGCTGACAGACTCACAGGCACACGGGCAATTTGCTACATTTTTACTCCGATTTTTGAGTTGAGTTGAGTCCTCCTCGCATGCACATGTCTGTGTTATATCATGCACAATCCCTCCCTTCCATCCCACCTCCTTTTCACCCTCCCACCTCCTCCCCCATCAGCTGGTGGGCGTGTCAGGGAGCGGGCTGGTGCGAGTGTGGGATTTGGTCACCAAGCGCCCAGCAGCCTCTCATTGCTGTTCCCCCCCTCTCATTGCTGTTCCCCCCCTCTCATTGCTGTTCCCCCCCTCTCATTGCTGTTCCCCCCCTCTCATTGCTGTCCCCCCCCTCTCATTGCTGCGGGGAGTTTTTGAGAAATCTCAAAAACTCATTGCTGTTCCCCCCCTCTTCCCCTGCCATCCCCACCTCTCTTCCCGCGCCCTCACTCCCCAACAGCTGGTGGGCGCGTCAGAGAGCGGATTAGTGCGAGTGTGGGATCTGGTGACCAAGCGCCCAGCAGCCTCTCTGGACAAGCACTTCTCTACAGTCACCTCCATCGCCTTCTCGCCCTCTGGCTGGCTGCTGCTCACTGCTTCCCGGGATAAGGTGGGTCCCCTGTAGGCTCCTCTAGGTCTGTTCTAGTTCTGTTCTAGGTCTTTCTAGGTCCCACCACGTTCCTCTGTCCGTCCACTAGCCTCTCTGGACAAGCAAAGCACTTTTCCACTGCCACTGCCACTGCCATTGCCACTGCCATTGCCATTGCCTTATCGCCCTCTGGCTGGCTGCTGCTCACCGCCAGTCGCAACAAGGTCAGCCAACCAGCCAACCCCTTTCCCCCTACCTCACCTCTCCGGACGAGCACTTCTACACAGTCACCTCTATCGCTGCCCGCTTGAGGCGCCTCAAAAGTCGCTGCCCTTTTGAGGCGCCTCAAAACCCCTTTCCCCCTACCTTACCTCTCCGGACGAGCACTTCTGCACAGTCACCTCTATCGCTGCCCTTTGGCTGGCTGGCTGGCTGCTGCTCCCTGCCAGTCGTGAAAAGGTGTGGATCCCTCTATGTCCTTGTGAGGTAGGTCTCTCTGGGTCAAAATATGGGATATTTGCACCTACGCCCACGTCACAACCATTCCCGTGTTTACTAAAGTCGACTTAAAAAATCGTCTCACCTCTATTTTCCCCCCTCCCCTCTCCGTTCACCTTCGCTCACCCATTTCCTTCGCCCCACCTCTCCCACCCCGCTTCCCACCTTCCCTGTCTCAGCTGGTACACATATGGTATATTCGCATCTACTCCCACGTCACCCAATCAAATAAGAATTCATCTCACCTCCCCTCTCCCTTGACATTTCCCCACCCCTTTTTTTCTCCCCTACCCCCCACTCCCCCCCTTCTCCCCCTCTCCCCCCTTCCTCTGTCTCAGGTGGTCAACATATGGGACATTCACACCTGCGCGCACGTCACCACGATTCCTGTTTTTTTATCGAATAAACACCCCTTTCCTTCTCCCACGCACCCCGCCCCCCCCCTCCTCCCACGCCCACCTTTTCCTCTGTCTCAGGTGGTCAACATATGGGATATTCGCACCTATGCCCATGTCACCACCATCCCCGTTTTTGAGTCCCTCGAAGGCCTCGCTATAGTCACACCGCCTATAGCTCCAGACTTTCCTGTCATCCCCCCCACCTCTGCTTCTGCCACTGCTGGGGCGGATGCAGGCGGGGGAAAAGGGGAGAAGGGGGAGAAAGGGAAGAAAGGGGAGAAGGGGAAGAAGAGTCGGGAGGAGATGGGGGAGAAAGAGGTGGTATGGTTTGTGAGTGTGGGAGAGAAGGGTGTGATGCGGTTGTGGCGGTCAGACAAGTCAACGGCGGTCTTGGAGCAACGGGCAGCTGAGGTGGCGGGCGGGCAGCAGAAAACAGGCACGGAGGCCAATGACGAAGCGCCAGCTGGCGGCGGGTTTTTGTCTGCACAGTTTTTGGGCTTGGATGGAGGAGGAGGGGGAGTAGGGGAAGGGAGAGGAGGAGAAGGGGGAGTGGGGGGAGGAAAGGGAGGATGCAGGCTATTGTGTACCACTGCAGATCAGCGGTTGTTGATATACCAGCCTGTCAACGTGACTGTAACGAAGCAGCAGCAGCAGCTGCAGCAGCAGTTTCTTGCCATGTGTCAGCAGCTGATTGGTCAGAACGACGAGATCGTGGACGTGCGATTCGTCCTTGACCCTTCCTCTTCATCTATCGCTGCAGTGGGAGGGGCAGATGAGGAGGAAGAGACTGAGAGAGCAGGTGGGGGGAGGGAGGGAGAGGAGGGGGAGGGCGGAGAGGACGGAGGGGAGGGGATAAGGAAGGCGTTGAGAGGGGTGGAGAGGAATCTGCAGCTGGCCGTGGCGACCAACAGCGAGCAAGTGCGCGTGTACGACGTGGCGACCGCCAGCTGTCACCGTTCCCTGATTGGCCACTCGGACATCGTCCTCTGCATCGACGCGTACCCCCACCCCTGCTCCGTGCCGCGTGCCCTTCTTGGCCCTCCTGCTGCTGCTGCTGCTGCTGATGATGATGATGGCTCTGCTGCTGGTGCTGCTAGTGCGGGTGGCGATGGTAGCGGCGGCAGCGGTTCTTCTGATTTGGTGCCGGTTTCGCTGCTCGCCTCGTCTGCTAAAGATCACTCTGTAAGCAACTCGCTCGACCCCTCGCCCGTCCCCCAACCCTATCCCCTCCTCTCACCCTTCCCATGCCATGCCTCATTTTCCCACCCCCTCCTCCCCGCCCACCCTTCCCCTCCCCATACCACCTCCAACATACCCCCCGTGCCCCTCCTCCCGTCGCCTTAGTACACTCGCTGTGCGTGCGTGGTGTTATACAAGTAGAAACGTAATTTCGCATGCCACATGCCACATGCCTTCCATATTGGTGTGACCTTTGAGAATTCTCAAAAGAAACGTAATTTTGCATGGCACATGCCTTCCCATGTATCCTCCCTTCTCCTGGTTACCCTGCCCCCCACCTGCCCTCATCCCACCCATCCCTTCCCATCCCTCTCATCCCTTCCCACCCATCCCGTCCCACCCATCCCGTCCCACCCATCCCTTCCCACCCATCCCGTCCCACCCATCCCTTCCCACCCATCCCGTCCCACCCATCCCTTCCCACCCATCCCTTTCCACCCATCCCGTCCCAACCATCCCTTCCCACCCATCCCGTCCCACCCATCCCTTGCCTTGCCACCCATCCCTTTCCACCCATCCCATCCCAACCATCCCTTCCCACCCATCCCTTCCCACCCATTCCTGGCCAATCAGGTGCGGGTTTGGGACGTCACCACCGGCAACTGTCTAGCAATGGGGTCAGGACACGTGGCAGCTGTTGCTGCCGTGGCGTTTTCTCAGAGACCGCTGCCAGATCAGCCAACAGGAGGGAAAGGGGGAGGAGCAGGGCCGTTCTTGGTATCTGGTTCAAGGTATGTATGTGTGTGAGCTCAGCCATGTAACGTGTGTGAGCATGTGTGGGCGTGTGTGTGTGTGTGTGTGAGTGTGTGTGAGTGTGTGTGAGTGTGTGTGAGTGTGTGTGAGTGTGTGAGCGTGTGTGAGTGAGTGTGTGTGAGCATGTGTGCGCGTTTATGAGTGTGTGTGAGCGTGTGTGAGCGGGTGTGAGTGTGTGTGAGCATGTGTGCGCGTGTGTGAGTGTGTGTGAGCATGTTTGCGTGTGTATGAGTGTGTGTGAGCGTGTGTGTACGGTGAATATTACATGCGTTAAAACTGCTTCCCCTCATTCCCTTCCCCCTCTCCCGCCTCCCAGTGATCGCACATTCAAAGTCTGGCCACTGGCGCTCCTCCTCGCCTCCTCAGCACCACCACTGCCTAGCTCAAGTCTGTAACATTTCATCCCTCTCTTACACCTCCCCTGTCTCTCCCTTTCCCCTCCCTCCTCCCAGTGACCGCACACTCAAAGTCTGGCCGCTCGCACTCCTCCTCGCCTCCTCAGCAGCAGCGCTGCCTCGCGGGAGGGGCGGCGTGCTTCGTCTCAAGTCAGGTGCAACAATGGCAGCACACGACAAGGACATTAACGCTGTAGCTGTGGCGCCCAATGATGGCCTCGTGTGCTCCGGCTCCCAGGTAAATCCGAGTCACTTGCACAAGTAATTTAAAGCAAGGCAAGTCAGGTGCCACAGTGGCAGCACACGACAAGGACATCTTTTGAGGCGCCTCAAAAGTCGTCAATGCTGTGGCTGTGGCACCCAGTGATGCTCTTGTGTGCTCTGGCTCCCAGGTAAATTATCTGAGCGCTTCAAGTCAATTCAAATCAATTCAAGTCAGGTGCCACAGTGGCAGCACATGACAAGGACGTCAACGCTGTAGCTGTGGCTCCCAATGATGGCCTTGTGTGCTCCGGCTCCCAGGTAAATAGTCTGAGCGCTTTAAGTCATGTCAAGTCAAGTCAAGTCAAGTCAAGTCAAGTCAAGTCAGATCAAGTCAAGTCAAGGAGAGGCAAGTCAAGTCAAGTCAGGTCAAGTCAGGTCAAGTCAGGTGCCACTGTGGCAGCACACGACAAGGACATCAACGCTGTGGCGGTGGCTCCCAACGGCAGCCTTGTGTGCTCCGGCTCCCAGGTAAATAGTCTGAGCCGCTTTTTAGAATTCTCAATAGCAAGGCAAGTAAGGTGCCACAGTGGCGTGGCAGCACACGACAAGGACATAAACGCCGTGGCTATGGCTCCCAATGATGGCCTTGTGTGCTCCGGATCCCAGGTAAATAATCTGAGCGCTTTAATTCAAGTTAAGTGAAGTCAAGGCAATTCAGGTGCTACAGTGGCAGCACACGGCAAGGACATCAATGCCGTGGCTGTGGCGCCCAACGATGCTCTCGTGTGCTCAGGCTCTCAGGTGGGTCTCAGGTGAATTTTTTTGTTTAATCTCAGGTGATGGTCAGGTGGGTCTCAGGTGATTTTTTTGTTTAATCTCAGGTGATGGTCAGGTGGGTCTCAGGTGATTTTTTTGTTTAATCTCAGGTGATGGTCAGGTGGGTCTCAGGTGATTCTTAGCTCATATCGGGTGGGCCTTCGATGATTTGCGAGGGTTGTCTCAGATGATTATCAGGTGGGTGAAAATTGTTTTCCTCCTCCCTGCCCCTCCCCCTTGCTCCCCCCATCACCTTCTCCCTCCCCTACCAACAGGACCGCACGGCCAAGGTGTGGCGCCTGCCTGATTTGTCCCTTTCTGTCACACTAAGGGGCCACAAGCGTGGCGTGTGGTCTGTCGCCTTCTCTCCTGTGGATCGCTGTGTGCTCACGGCTTCAGGCGACGCCACGTGCCGCATCTGGGCGCTGGCGGATGGCAGCTGCTTGCGGACGCTTCAAGGGCACGAAGCATCGGTTCTGAAGGCCATCTTTGTGACTCGAGGCACCCAGGTGTGTGCTGTGTTTGTGCTGCAGCGGTCTGTGTGCTGCATTTAGTATGTGTGTGTGCTCACGGCTTCAGGCGACGCCACGTGCCGCATCTGGGCGCTGGCGGACGGCAGCTGCTTGGCTTGCGCACGCTTCAAGGGCACGAGGCGAGCGTGCTGAAGGCGATATTCGTTACCAGAGGCACGCAGGTAGGCCCTGTGTTGTGTGCTGCGTGTTGTGTGTGATGTGTGATGTGTGATGTATGCTGCATTGAGTCTGTCTGTGTGCTCACAGCATCGGGGGAGGCCACGTGTCGCATCTGGGCGCTGGCAGACGGCAGCTGCCTGAGAAACCTTCAGGTGCACTAGGCTTCGGTTCTCAAGGCCATCTTTGTCACCCGAGGCACGCAGGTAGGCCCTGTGTTGTGTGCTGTCTTTTGTGTGCTGTGTGTGGTGTGCCACATTGGGTCTCTGTGTGCTCACAGCATCGAGTGACCCCGCATCTGGGCGCTGGGAGACGGCAGCAGCCTGCATTGCAAGCACTGCAGGGGGCACGAGGTTTGAGTGGTCAAGGCAGTGTCTGTGACCCAGGGGCACGCTGGTAGGTGGGCACTGGATGAGTGTGAGCGACATGTTAGTGCGGCAGGAGCTGGTTTCAGAGCCGGATGCCACGCTGGTAGGTGGGCACTGGATGAGTGTGAGCGACATGTTAGTGCGGCAGGAGCTGGTTTCAGAGCCGGATGCCACGCTGGTAGGTGGGCACTGGATGAGTGTGAGCGACATGTTAGTGCGGCAGGAGCTGGTTTCAGAGCCGGATGCCACGCTGGTAGGTGGGCACTGGATGAGTGTGAGCGACATGTTAGTGCGGCAGGAGCTGGTTTCAGAGCCGGATGCCACGCTGGTAGGTGGGCACTGGATGAGTGTGAGCGACATGTTAGTGCGGCAGGAGCTGGTTTCAGAGCCGGATGCCACGCTGGTAGGTGGGCACTGGATGAGTGTGAGCGACATGTTAGTGCGGCAGGAGCTGGTTTCAGAGCCGGATGCCACGCTGGTAGGTGGGCACTGGATGAGTTTGAGCGACATGTTAGTGCGGCAGGAGCTGGTTTCAGAGCTGGATGCCACGCTGGTAGGTGGGCACTGGATGAGTGTGAGCGACATGTTAGTGCGGCAGGAGCTGGTTTCAGAGCCGGATGCCACGCTGGTAGGTGGGCACTGGATGAGTGTGAGCGACATGTTAGTGCGGCAGGAGCTGGTTTCAGAGCCGGATGCCACGCTGGTAGGTGGGCACTGGATGAGTGTGAGCGACATGTTAGTGCGGCAGGAGCTGGTTTCAGAGCCGGATGCCACGCTGGTAGGTGGGCACTGGATGAGTGTGAGCGACATGTTAGTGCGGCAGGAGCTGGTTTCAGAGCCGGATGCCATGCTGGTAGGTGGGCACTGGATGAGTGTGAGCGACATGTTAGTGCGGCAGGAGCTGGTTTCAGAGCCGGATGCCACGCTGGTCGGTGGGCACTGGATGAGTGTGAGCGACATGTTAGTGCGGCAGGAGCTGGTTTCAGAGCCGGATGGCACGCTGGTAGGTGGGCACTGGATGAGTGTGAGCGACATGTTAGTGCGGCAGGAGCTGGTTTCAGAGCCGGATGGCACGCTGGTAGGTGGGCACTGGATGAGTGTGAGCGACATGTTAGTGCGGCAGGAGCTGGTTTCAGAGCCGGATGCCACGCTGGTAGGTGGGCACTGGATGAGTGTGAGCGACATGTTAGTGCGGCAGGAGCTGGTTTCAGAGCCGGATGCCACGCTGGTAGGTGGGCACTGGATGAGTGTGAGCGACATGTTAGTGCGGCAGGAGCTGGTTTCAGAGCCGGATGCCACGCTGGTAGGTGGGCACTGGATGAGTGTGAGCGACATGTTAGTGCGGCAGGAGCTGGTTTCAGAGCCGGATGCCACGCTGGTAGGTGGGCACTGGATGAGTGTGAGCGACATGTTAGTGCGGCAGGAGCTGGTTTCAGAGCCGGATGCCACGCTGGTAGGTGGGCACTGGATGAGTGTGAGCGACATGTTAGTGCGGCAGGAGCTGGTTTCAGAGCCGGATGCCACGCTGGTAGGTGGGCACTGGATGAGTGTGAGCGACATGTTAGTGCGGCAGGAGCTGGTTTCAGAGCCGGATGCCACGCTGGTAGGTGGGCACTGGATGAGTGTGAGCGACATGTTAGTGCGGCAGGAGCTGGTTTCAGAGCCGGATGCCACGCTGGTAGGTGGGCACTGGATGAGTGTGAGCGACATGTTAGTGCGGCAGGAGCTGGTTTCAGAGCCGGATGGCACGCTGGTAGGTGGGCACTGGATGAGTGTGAGCGACATGTTAGTGCGGCAGGAGCTGGTTTCAGAGCCGGATGCCATGCTGGTAGGTGGGCACTGGATGAGTGTGAGCGACATGTTAGTGCGGCAGGAGCTGGTTTCAGAGCCGGATGCCACGCTGGTAGGTGGGCACTGGATGAGTGTGAGCGACATGTTAGTGCGGCAGGAGCTGGTTTCAGAGCCGGATGCCACGCTGGTAGGTGGGCACTGGATTGGATGAGTGTGAGCGACATGTTAGTGCGGCAGGAGCTGGTTTCAGAGCCGGATGCCACGCTGGTAGGTGGGCACTGGATGAGTGTGAGCGACATGTTAGTGCGGCAGGAGCTGGTTTCAGAGCCGGATGGCACGCTGGTAGGTGGGCACTGGATGAGTGTGAGCGACATGTTAGTGCGGCAGGAGCTGGTTTCAGAGCCGGATGCCACGCTGGTAGGTGGGCACTTAATGAGTGTGAGCGACATGTTAGTGCGGCAGGAGCTGGTTTCAGAGCCGGATGCCACGCTGGTAGGTGGGCACTGGATGAGTGTGAGCGACATGTTAGTGCGGCAGGAGCTGGTTTCAGAGCCGGATGCCATGCTGGTAGGTGGGCACTGGATGAGTGTGAGCGACATGTTAGTGCGGCAGGAGCTGGTTTCAGAGCCGGATGCCACGCTGGTAGGTGGGCACTGGATGAGTGTGAGCGACATGTTAGTGCGGCAGGAGCTGGTTTCAGAGCCGGATGCCACGCTGGTAGGTGGGCACTGGATGAGTGTGAGCGACATGTTAGTGCGGCAGGAGCTGGTTTCAGAGCCGGATGCCACGCTGGTAGGTGGGCACTGGATGAGTGTGAGCGACATGTTAGTGCGGCAGGAGCTGGTTTCAGAGCCGGATGGCACGCTGGTAGGTGGGCACTGGATGAGTGTGAGCGACATGTTAGTGCGGCAGGAGCTGGTTTCAGAGCCGGATGCCACGCTGGTAGGTGGGCACTGGATGAGTGTGAGCGACATGTTAGTGCGGCAGGAGCTGGTTTCAGAGCCGGATGGCACGCTGGTAGGTGGGCACTGGATGAGTGTGAGCGACATGTTAGTGCGGCAGGAGCTGGTTTCAGAGCCGGATGCCACGCTGGTAGGTGGGCACTGGATGAGTGTGAGCGACATGTTAGTGCGGCAGGAGCTGGTTTCAGAGCCGGATGCCACGCTGGTAGGTGGGCACTGGATGAGTGTGAGCGACATGTTAGTGCGGCAGGAGCTGGTTTCAGAGCCGGATGGCACGCTGGTAGGTGGGCACTGGATGAGTGTGAGCGACATGTTAGTGCGGCAGGAGCTGGTTTCAGAGCCGGATGCCACGCTGGTAGGTGGGCACTGGATGAGTGTGAGCGACATGTTAGTGCGGCAGGAGCTGGTTTCAGAGCCGGATGGCACGCTGGTAGGTGGGCACTGGATGAGTGTGAGCGACATGTTAGTGCGGCAGGAGCTGGTTTCAGAGCCGGATGCCACGCTGGTAGGTGGGCACTGGATGAGTGTGAGCGACATGTTAGTGCGGCAGGAGCTGGTTTCAGAGCCGGATGCCACGCTGGTAGGTGGGCACTGGATGAGTGTGAGCGACATGTTAGTGCGGCAGGAGCTGGTTTCAGAGCCGGATGGCATGGCACGCTGGTAGGTGGGCACTGGATGAGTGTGAGCGACATGTTAGTGCGGCAGGAGCTGGTTTCAGAGCTGGATGCCACGCTGGTAGGTGGGCACTGGATGAGTGTGAGCGACATGTTAGTGCGGCAGGAGCTGGTTTCAGAGCCGGATGGCACGCTGGTAGGTGGGCACTGGATGAGTGTGAGCGACATGTTAGTGCGGCAGGAGCTGGTTTCAGAGCCGGATGGCACGCTGGTAGGTGGGCACTGGATGAGTGTGAGCGACATGTTAGTGCGGCAGGAGCTGGTTTCAGAGCCGGATGGCACGCTGGTAGGTGGGCACTGGATGAGTGTGAGCGACATGTTAGTGCGGCAGGAGCTGGTTTCAGAGCCGGATGCCACGCTGGTAGGTGGGCACTGGATGAGTGTGAGCGACATGTTAGTGCGGCAGGAGCTGGTTTCAGAGCCGGATGCCACGCTGGTAGGTGGGCACTGGATGAGTGTGAGCGACATGTTAGTGCGGCAGGAGCTGGTTTCAGAGCCGGATGCCACGCTGGTAGGTGGGCACTGGATGAGTGTGAGCGACATGTTAGTGCGGCAGGAGCTGGTTTCAGAGCCGGATGGCACGCTGGTAGGTGGGCACTGGATGAGTGTGAGCGACATGTTAGTGCGGCAGGAGCTGGTTTCAGAGCCGGATGGCACGCTGGTAGGTGGGTACTGGATGAGTGTGAGCGACATGTTAGTGCGGCAGGAGCTGGTTTCAGAGCCGGATGGCACGCTGGTAGGTGGGCACTGGATGAGTGTGAGCGACATGTTAGTGCGGCAGGAGCTGGTTTCAGAGCCGGATGCCACGCTGGTAGGTGGGCACTGGATGAGTGTGAGCGACATGTTAGTGCGGCAGGAGCTGGTTTCAGAGCCGGATGGCATGGCTCGCTGGTAGGTGGGCACTGGATGAGTGTGAGCGACATGTTAGTGCGGCAGGAGCTGGTTTCAGAGCTGGATGCCACGCTGGTAGGTGGGCACTGGATGAGTGTGAGCGACATGTTAGTGCGGCAGGAGCTGGTTTCAGA